CAGGGTTAAGCAGTTAAGTCTCTTGGCTGACATCTGCCATTGAAAATTCATGATCCTTCCCTTGGTTTGGAGATTTGAGCTAGCCCCTTAGACCCAGAGCCTATCATGTAAAGCAGAGCTCAGGTCCCCTGAGGATACAACCTGTAGTGCTGTGGCAGGTGTGTGTAGGAAAAGTTTCTTGAATCCTCCCACAGAGTCCTATGGCTTCCAAAGTAAAAGAAGAATTACTGCATCTGGTACCTAACATGTGGCATTCCATTATATACTACAATGTCTTTGGAAGTATAAAAATAAAATTGTAACTATTTGCAGATGGAGCGATTGTCTACATACAGCATTCAGAAGACTGTTGACAAAGCATTAGAAGTGATAAGAGCCTTACAAACATTTACTGAATATAAAATCAATATACTAAGTCAATTAAATTTCTATGCCAGTTTGTGAGTTGTATTTTTATTTTCTTTCTGAAGTTTTTTGATTGACATGAGTCCTTTGTTCTAATATATTCAGCTTAGTCAATCTTTGTTCTAGGTTTGTGTTTTTGGTGTATATTTTTTTAACAGGTCCTTCTCTACATTACCTTCTAAAAGTACCTATCTCGGCCTCTTATTTTTGTAAGGTGCAAATGAGGAATTCATTTTTTCCCCATGTGGATATTCAGTTGAACAACAGCATGGTTTTCTGAACAGACCATCTTTCAATATAGATTGGCAATTGTTACCTATCATATATCAAGGTTCCATTTGTCCCAGATCCATTTCTGAATTTCATATTTTGCATCATTAGTCTGCTCATGTCCCCCTGAGTCAACAATATACTGTACTGTTCTGTACTGTACTGTCGGGAAGGTGGGAAGGTGGGAAGGGTTTGAGCAACATATAAAAAAAAAGGAGAAAGAACTCATGGTCACAGACACCAGTGTGGTGAATGCTGGAAGGAGGGGAATGAGGGAGGATGGAGGAGAATGTGGGGGATAAATGGTGATGGGCACATAGACTTGACTTGGGGTGGTGAATAGACAATGGTGTACAGGTGATGTGTTGTAGAATTGTGTACCTGAAACCTATATAATTTTGTTAACCAGTGCTACCCCCAAAATTTACTAAAACAGAAAAAAAATGCACTGTACTAAATACTACAGCATCCTAAAAAGTCACAGTACCTACAGGTCCTCTAAGGTCCTTTTTCTTCTTAAGTGTCTTAGCAATTTTTGGCTTTTTAAAAAAAAATTTTTAAAAAAAATTTTGGCCCTTTGACCTTCCCTATGTATTTTAGAATCAGCTTGCCAAATTCCTTAAAGAGTGATATTAGAATATTTTTATCAATTAAAAATTATCTGTGTTGAAGAAAATTGACATCTTTTTGTACTGAATGTTTCCATTTGCGAACATATTATTTATTATACCAGCACATTTTCTTTTATCCTTCAATAAAATCATTTTCCACATAAATCTTGTATATTTTTTTATTTACTGTAATTTTTTTCCTAGTAATGACTTCTTTCCTTTGTACATCTTACATTGTTTGTGACAATGTAGACAATTTTACAACCTACAACAAATTATGCTTTCATTTTTATCTTTGCAATCCTTTACATAGTATATTTATTTGTCTTTGTCATGGGCCCAGCAAGGTCATGCTGTTGATTTTGAATAGAAATCATGACAGTGGTCAAATGTTCTGTTGAAGGGAATGCTTTAATATTTCTTCAATAATTATGATATTTGAATTTGTTTTAACTCATACTATTTTTCAGGTTAAGGAAGTTTCATTCTTTTCTCAGTGTATATATCAATATCTCTTTTCCGAACAATTAAGGCACTTGAATCAATTCATTTTGTACTTTTTACTTATAAACTGTAATATAGGTCTTAGTTTTATCTGGATTTTTTTTTCTAAAATACTAAATTGCTTGGATCAATTTATTATGAAGAAGACAAATCCATGATAGTTTAAAAAAAAGTAAAGCTACAAAAGAAAGTTTAAAGTCAAATGTTTATCTTAAGTCTGAGTTTGTCTGACAATGTTCTTTTGTATTATTTGACTCTATATCAAGTACTAACTCACACTTTTAAATTACCGAATGCCTGTAAATAGAGATCTTTAACTTCTATTTTTAAGTGGTAAATTGCATTTTTTATTGACCTGACATGGAATGGCTAAAACAATTTCATCTTCAGATCCCTTGGAGTTATTTTATTATTGACTAAATATTTAATAAGAGCCTGCTTTGTTATTTATTAATAACATGTTATTAAGAGAACTATATTAGCCATGTAGATACAGATATGAGCAAGATCAGTAAAATTTCTGTCCTCATGGAGCTTAACTCTCATGGAAGAGCATAAGAGACAAAGAAAAAGCAAAAACACATATAGCACAAAGTCAGGGCCTGATAAATGCTCTGAAGAAAATGGTAACGCGGGGTCAGAGGAGAGGGAGTGGTTAGCGGGACACTTCAGACAAGGGGACTTTTAAGAGACCTAAATGAAGGGAGGGAGTAGGTCCTGTGACCACGGGGGAGGAACAAGCCCCCAAATGTGTTTTAGGACGAGTGGAGAATCCAGATCTAAAGACCCACCTTGTGCAATCATGAAGAGTAGAAAAGCAGACCTTACAGTTTTGGAAAGATAAAAATTGACTTCCTGTTTTGGCATTCCAAGTCATGGGACTTGAAAATCGCATAGATATAAACACCCATTTACACGGATCTCTGCCAAAACGCAGTACGAATCCTTACCCAGCAAATTATGTGCACAGATAAGAACGAATGCTATCAACAAGCTGTTAACAGAAAAGTATTCCTAGGTTATAAATATTGATAGAAAACAAGTTTCCTTCAGAATTTTGATGGCTCTGACCATCTGCAAAAGTGGAAACTTATGGGCGAAAATTAGATACCAGATATGAGACAATAAGAGGAAGTCAGCCTGTATCCCAGGCCTGAGGCGGAGCGAACTCTGTTTCTGCCCAGGAGGCAGTTTTGACCAAGCCAGGCTCATCCTTTCTACCCATTGGGTTTCTTGTTTCAGAGTAAATACGGTTGGTATAATTCCGTATCAAAATGCATCCCTTTTTGCAATTATTATGTATTGAATTGTTTGTCTATAGTACAACCAAATGCGGGTTTTAAAAATGAATACAGTAATTGAAGAATCCTACTGTTTCTGGAATAATGTAGAAGTATTTCAATATCGTTCTATCCACATAATATATATTTTTAGAAATAAAATGGTCTTTTACTTTTCTATTTTTATAAATTTTGACTGGATAAAATATTGAGAAGTAAAAGTAACTATTAAAATGAGACCCCACATTTGCTGTCCTTAAGCAACAGCATGGATATTTTATTTATTTGATTATATGGATTAAACCTCAGCAAGAATATCATAGAGATGCATCTTCATATTTTCCCAATGATGTCTCTGAATTTTTATAACACTCTATTATTCTCCTTTTGGTGGCCTATCTATTAATATCCAGTACATTTACAGTTAATATAAGTTTAAAAATTTTTTAAAATGAGCAGAAACAACCTAGTTTTTGGAGAATTAGGAGTACAAAAATTAATATGGGATAAGCTTCATGTGTTTTGTTTCAGATATTCAGGAGTATCTTACTTCACAAAGATGATTGCTGCTTCACACTTCCTTTTAGGGCGTCCATGGCCAGTTAGGTGAATGCAAGCTGTGCAAGAACTAGTGCTAGATTAAGCCAAGATTAAGGAAACTAGCTGGCCGAATGCAGTTTAGAGAGGTCACTAAGTATGGTTTAGCACTGACTCCTACTTACAATGACTTCCCAGTGCTCAGAGGGTCTAGCCTAAACTAGTAAAGCTTGTAGACAGAGACTTGAAATGTTAACTAACCCACATCTCCTGAAAAGTCTCATGTCAGCCTTTCCTATGGCCACACTTTGCATACTCTCTTGTCATCCCCAGAACATCCCCAGTGAGAACTGTAACCATTCCTCTCCTTTTCTGTTGCCTTCTCTATCTTTTTACCCACTCACTCCTGGTAAAATTGTTTTCAGACTTTCACACACAATACCAGGGCCATCCCTTCTCCACTCTTCCCCACGAAAACGTTACTGTGCTCCACGTACTCCTTGCTCTAGCATTTAAAATTCTGTTGTAATAAAATGTTTGTATTTATGTTTCTCCTACAGTTATTTTTTAAAAAGATATATTTTTTTTTATTGATTTCAGAGAGGAAGAGAGCGGGAGAGAGAGATAGAAACATGAATGTTGAGAGAGAATCATTGATTGGCTGCCTCCTGCATGCTCCACTCTAGGGGTCAAACCCAGGAATTGATCCGTGATCTCCTGGTTCATAGATCAATGCTCAACCACTGAGCCACACTGTCTGGGCTTATTTTTTATTTTTTTTACAATTGAAAAATTGCTCTTTGTCCAATAGAAGAGCATCTCTTTTATTTTTTATCATCTTTTAAAAATAGGTTCTTTCACTCTAGAAACTTTTTTTCATATTTAAATACTAATTGTAATTAAATCTAAGTTACATATTAGATAAATATTTATGAAATAAAGAAATTTTCAAAATTAACATACCAAATAGAATGAACTATGTTAAGAGTTTTGAAAAGCAACAGATTTATATAAAAAAGAGGTATTAGAAAATTAATTGTCCTTGAACAGGACATGGGTTTCTGAATTTGTTCCTCCATAACTTACTATTTAAAGGTAATTTTTAACCGTTGGAAAACAGTCTCTCTCTCTCTCCTGTGTCACCCCGAGCTGTAGCTGAGTTTGGAATCTCCCTATGTGTGTCAGTAGGAGATTGCGAAAGGAGAAGGAAAAAAGTCTCTTATCCCAAAAGCAGTTTGGAGGTGGCCAAGAGGAGGTATTCAGTACATTCGCTGAGGAAATGACGAGAAGGAAATTGTTTTGTGTCTCGGGAACCATGTGGAATTCCAAGATAAGAAAAACAGTTGCTAATTTGAGTATAAAAGCAGGAAACATGATACACTTGTTTCCTTTTATGCAAACACAAGTATATGAGGGGTTGTGTGAAAATTATTTTTCTCTCGCGGAACCACAAAGACAGAATCAAAGTGCTTCTTTTGGCCACACTGGCTTTTCTTTCTTGCTCTTTTTTCTCCTCTCTCTTCTATTTCTGGTGGATATTATGGCTAATAACACAACAAGTTTAGGAAGTCCATGGCCAGAAAACTTTTGGGGTAAGATATTTTCTTTACCTGTTTTAAATTTAAAATTAGTATGCAGAGAAATGTACTGTGTGATTTACGAAAACACTGGATATCTCTGAGACCTTTTGTTAATGTAAACTGACTGTTTTCATTGATTGATTATAATAGATATATTAATATAAAGTGTCTTTAAAGTGGGCTATAACAGCACTCAAGAAAAATCTGGGCAACAGGACTAGATTGGCTGGTGTTACAAAATACAATTAGAAAGGAATAAGGATAAAGATGAGAAGCAAGGTGGCAGGAATTGCTCTTTGGAATATGATAATGTGGCTTTTGTTGGAAAGTGAAGTTTTATTTGTTTAAGGTTATGGGTTATGTATTTTATGTAATGAAACCAAGAATTCCTACAGAGGTGACCTTAACATACATGGTCAATGCTACACTTTTTAATTCCCTAGTGAACCTAACTAATAAATCAGTACTTAAGGAGGGTGATACCACAGATAAGAGGAGGAATCGTATTATGAACTTAGAGGGGGAAACTGGACTGGAAAAAGCTAAGTGGGAATAACACCACATGTAACATTACAGAGGAAGCCGAGCGCAGGAGAGAAGGCACAACACAGACGGCCTTGTGTTCGGACACTGCTGCTGCCCAAACGCCGGCGGCCGGTGGAGTCAGTATCACCAGTTGTTCAGGCCAGAGGGACAGGGAAGGCCTGGGATGTGAACTTGATGTGTACTTTGGGTTCAGGGAAATTTTAAAAATCAAGGGGGAATTTGAATTACATCCAGAAAAAGACCTTAGAGGAGAAAATGGAGTTTATGGATAGATGGATATCCTTGTTTAGTAATCCAGAACAAGTTTTTAATCCTCTGTTGCAATTCAAGGGGGTATTTTGGGAACAATGAGGGGAAAGGTGAGCAGCAGTGGCCGGCTGCTCCTGGCAACCTCACCTACATGTCCACCATCACGGAAACTCTCATGAAGGGAATTAATGATTCTTTCTACCATCAACCAGTTATGTTTGCTTCAATTTGTAAATTATATCAGGGAACATCTACAATCATTATATAACAAAATTAGGAAGAAGAAAATAAATTATATTTGCATATCTAAGAAATGGCATGATAGGCTTATTCAGGTAGACACCAATAGATGATAAGCCTTTGGATTGTAGACTTGTAGACATCTGATCATATGTTTGTTACAATACTACTTGGTGTCCTCATAACAGAGCAAGTGAATGTCCAAAAAACAGCTAGAGAGTGTGTTTACACTAAATTCATCGTTACAAATCTAAGTAGCAGTGTAAATGAATTCAAAAGCAAAGTAACTCTTACTGCAAACATTAATTGTTAAAGCCAAATCTATTTTTTCCAACAACTAAATGCCAGGTTCACTTAGGCAAAGGAAATCATTATCCACTGACTAAAACATGGACAGTAATCACTAAGAAAACTTGAATCTGTAAGAGCAGATGTTTAGTTGGAGTCTATTTGCCAATCCTAAAAAATGATAATTTTTTAAAAATATACATATCTGTGCTTGAGAAGGAATTCAAACTTACTGTCCCAAAGATAGTTCCTAGAGCTTCTTTGTCTTAGTATGTGAATACAATGGAAAATATATAAAAATAACAAAAACCAGGAAGGGGAGTGTTATGTTGATAAGCATTAACAAAATCAGGGCAAGTATGTTGAGCAGGTATAATGTTTTGGGGAAAATATATAAAAGATCACATTATTTTTTTCTGAAGTAAGGAATATTAAGTGGAAATTCCAAAAGTGTAAATGTGAATATATAAAAGATAAAAGTTTCTTAAAACAGAAATCCCCATCTTTTTTCTTTTTCTTTCTTATGTGTATCTAAATTGATATCTATTTTGATCACTGATTCCACAGACATATTAATTTGATAATCTTGTAAAATGCAGTGCAAGGCATTATCCATGGCTACCAAAGTCAACTGGCTTCTTCTCACTTTGAATTTGGAGAAGTAAAGGAAGACTAGCTGAGAAAAACAAAACTTGAGTGTTAAGCATATCAATTTCCCAGACTTAACACACTCAAGCTGCATAAAATGATGATGACTATTACCAATCATGACAGCTTGCATTTTCATAGTAATTGCCCCTCAATACTTACTACATGTTGTGCAAGCATTAAAGCAATTAGTGCAAGGGTGGACAACACAATTAGCCTGAGAGGGACAACCTAGTTCAGTGATGGTGAACCTTTTGAGCTCGGTGTGTCAGCATTTTGAAAAACCCTAACTTAACTCTGGTGCCGTGTCACATATAGAAATTTTTTGATATTTGCAACCATAGTAAAACAAAGACTTATATTTTTGATATTTATTTTATATATTTAAATGCCATTTAACAAAGAAAAATCAACCAAAAAAATGAGTTCACATGTCACCTCTGACACGTGTCATAGGTTCGCCATCACTGACCTACATGAAGACACCCCCTTGCATTTCTCAGTTTTGCTTAAAACTATTGCTATAAACATTGCCCACAAAACCAGCAAGAAACAACTGGGGAAAGTTTGCTGTGCCCTAATGTAATGAAATAGGAGGGAAGCATCCTTAAACTGAGTTGCCCTCTTGGCACCTGCAGTACTAAAGAATACCTGTGGTTAAACTTCCTGTCTTGCCATGTGGCTTTTCTCTTTTGGCTAACAGTGTATGTGTATTTGGCTACCACTGTATGTGTATTTGGCTAGCATTGTGTGTGTTTGGCTAGCATTGTGTGTGTTTAGCTAGCATTATGTGTGTGCTTGGCTAGCATAGTGTGTATATTTGGCTACCATTGTATGTGTATTTGGCTAGCATTGTGTGTATGTTTGGCTAGCATTGCGTGGTGTTTGGCTAGCTCATGTGTGTGTTTGGCTAGCATCATTGACTTAGGAGCTTGCATTTATTTACCTCAATAAATCTTCTCCCAAATGGCAATGTCTGTCCTCAAGATTACATTCTTGGAGGAGATTATGTGCTCATACACATGCAAATAAATGCCTTTATTGTCATGGACTAATACAAGATAATATATGGTAAAATGGCAATGATTGGTAATATAGTACAACTTTTTAAAAAATATGGCAGAAAGGGTTCCTACATCCTTTTTAGAAGAAAGGAGATCAGATAAGTTCAAATAGAAAGATAATCCTAAGAAGGACTTTTCAGTCATTCATTTTTCCTTCATTCACTCATTAACTCATTCATTCATATACTTATCTATCTACTCCATTAGTTTACTCAGAAGCATTGATTGGCCACCCATTATATAACAGGCAACGTGTGAGGTTTTAGGGCAGAAATGCAGCATAGCTGGAGAATTTCCGGGCGCTCAGGAGAAATGTTATCAGCAAATATGCACAAGTAAGTACCCACAAGCCACATTTGTTGAGAAGTGAATGGCTTGAGGCAGAATTGTGTAAAGGATGTCAGTATAAAAGCTTGAGCAAGTTTAACATAACAATCCTCAATTTCATGAACTGGGTCTCCCCGTTTTCCTCTTCCCTATGACTTTTTCTCTAAGGTGTGTGTGGTGGTGGTGGGGGGGGCAGGGGTTAGCACTGGGGAGGGGGGACGACGACACATACTATTAAGGTATTGGAGAAAGAGGGCCTTTGTTTCTTGAGATAATATTTTTAGTTCTGATATTTCCTTTGTACACTTAGTTATTTCTTATCGTTTCCATTTTTCTGCTGATACTTTCTACTTTTTCTTTCATTACGAACATTTTCCTTCACATCATTAAACACAGATATCATTTGCTATGACGTCTTTGTCTGCTTATGCGAACATCTGGGTCATCCTAGTGTCTTAAGGGGCTGACTTTCTTTTCTCTTAGAATGGGTCACATTTTCCTGTTTCTTCACGTCAAGCAGCTTTACGTTGTATTTGGAACATTTTAAATGGGCTTCTGGATTCTTTTATATTACCTATAAGAGTCTCTTTTTCTAGTTTGTTTTCACAAGCAAATACATGTTTAGAACTCCAACTAAAATCCCTATAAAGCCTATCTCTTGAAATGCAGTCCACATCTCAGATTAGTTTAGTTTGTTGGTTTTTTGATCTGCTTGTTTTTTTCTCTAGCTGTGCTGTTTGGAATTTGCAATACAGTTCAAGAGTCCAGCATAGATATAGGAAATGCTTATCCATAAAATGTAGGGATCCTCATTTCCGCTCTTTCTTCAGACTGGAAATGCCAAGGTTTTCAGTTGGAGTTTCACCTGCACCACATGACTCAGACTGGAAACTGTGCTCTGGCCAGAAGTTTTGAAAAGTAGAAAAATAATCCAGTGCTTGCTCTTCTTTTCTTCCAAGTGTCAGATTCCCTCTAGTAACTGCCTGCGTTTGGTCACTCTTCAGTGCCTGCAGATAGGAATTGTTTTAGGGGAAGGGAAGGGTGTGCGGTTTAACCAGTGTTTATAGTCAGTATACCTGAAAGGATCAATCCACAAAAGCTTACTTGGAATCTTATCTTTACACTAGAGGCCCAGTGCACGAATTCGTGCACCAGTGGGGTCCCTCAGGCTGGCCTGCAGGATCAGTCCAAAACTGGTTCTCTGACATCCCCCATGGGGTCCTGGATTGCAAGAGGCCAGGGACCCCACTGGTGCATGATCAGGGCCGGTGAGGGACACAGGAGGTTGGCCAGCTGGGGAGGGACTGCAGGAGGGCTCCAGGGCATGCCTGGCCTGTCTTGCACAGTCTTGATCGGCTGGACCCCAGCAGCAAGCTAACCTACCAGTTGGAGTGTCTGCTCCCTGGTGGTCAGTGCACATCATAGCAACTCATCGACCAGTCGACTGTCTGCCCCCTGGTGGCCAGTGCATATCATAGCGAGCGGTTGAGCAGCCTTAGCATATCATTAGCATATTATGCTTTGATTGGTTGAATGGCTGACTGGATGACCGGACACTTAGCATATTAAGATTTTATTATATAGGATGTTTCTACTGTTTATGCAAGGTCTTAAGTCAGAAAGGAGTCTGGTGGCAGAGGGCAGTGCAGA